ATGTCAAATAGTCCAACTAATGCAGTTCTACATCAACCTCCTTACATGCTGACGACTATTTATTGCTAAGAGTCCACAGAGATTGTAACGACCGAACAGCCAATATTCGGTTGGAACAACGGACTGACGAACCCAAAATTTATTCGATTAGACCAGACCAAGTTCCTCTGTATAGCTCACAACGCGTCTTTGAGATACTCGTATTATATTATATCAAAACACAAACTCTGTGCTCAATATAAACGGTTCTAATTAAGAAAACGGAACAAATTACATCAAAATACAAAATACCTTAAACGGTACAGCCTGTGCTATACAGTCAGAAGTTTCTCTAACGCAAAGTAGCGCGCTAAACAATGAAAGAGACAGTTAATACTAAAGGGTTTGATACCTGAGAATCAATACAAATATTCCCAATAAGATGGGATCAAATATCTATCTGCAGGGATTGCAGCAATTCTCCCAAGCAGACAGTCAGAAGGTTAACAATTACAAACTGAACCACGCCGTGACCTTGAGCTTAGTCAAACACAACCTTACTGTCAATGGTCCGGCAACATGCAATAGAAAATTAGGTAACAAAATAAGTCTTTAATCAAAATCACATAATAAAGGCTCAAACGGAGAAGACTGAAGAACAAAAGACATGGTTAAACGAGATCGAAACAAAGGTTGGAATACACAAAAGGGAGAAGGAACAAATAAATGACAATACTGTTCAATAAAGAAGCTGCAGAGGGATTTTCACTATTCTCTTTCTGTTACACCGGCCCCCAAAATCCCTCCAGCTACGCAAAGACACCTTAGAATACATTTCTGTCATGGCTCCCCTTACTAACTGCTCTATATCAATTGGAGGCACAGGACTTACAGCAGTACGCCTGTACATTCATAAACCTAAGCTACAATCTACAATTACTCGGCTCCCTCTAGAAGGCAGAGCTTTCGCACATCTCTTCTTACTACACCTTCTCTCATTCGCACCATCACTGTTCTTACCAATCCATCTCCATCTGTCTCGCACTTATCAACCCGTCCCATTGGCCATGAACCCCGAGTAGTTGCATCGTTAGCCACTGGAACTACATCGCCTTCCTTTAAGTTTCTGTGTTTGCAAAACCATTTCTGCCTCACTTGCAGTAAAGGAATATACTCTTTTATCCATCGACGCCAGAAGGTATTGGCTAAACAATTGACCTGTCTCCATCGCTTTGAATACCTATCCGCAACACTACACTTCACTCCTAAACCATCACAGTCTCTTAGTAATAACAAAGTGTTTGGCGTGAGCGCCAAATCATCCTTTTCATCTGACGTCACAGGAACGATTGGGCGGTTGTTTAAAATTCGTTCTACCTCCACAAAATAAGTTGCCAAACTATCATCGTGTAATATTTGCCCGTTGGAAATAGATAGTAAGATCCTCCGAACAGACCGTATTAATCTCTCCCAAACTCCGCCTCGATGGCTAGCTAGTGGGGGGTTGAAATGCCAGCGTATACCCTTCGATACTGTTACGTCGTTTATTTTATGCTTGTCCCACACACTCATATTAGCCCGTAATTCGGAAGTGGCCCCGACAAAGTTAGTTCCATTGTCGCTATAGATTTCCTTAGGAGTCCCTCTCCTTCCTATGAAACGTATTAAAGCCATTATAAAAGCATCAGTACTCAAATTGAAAGCTACTTCCAAATGTACGGCACGTGTTTGGAGACACGTAAATAGGCATCCATATCTTTTTTCCTCACTTCTTCCCCGACGAACTATCAACGGCCCAAAATAGTCTATTCCGACGGAGGAGAAGCAAAACCAGCCTTGCTGCACTCGACACTTGGGGAGAGGTGCCATCATCTGTTGGCCTAATGTGGCTTTCGCGCGTATACACCTCACACATCTACCTATCACACGTTTAACTGCACTGGTTCCTTTAACAATCCAATAATTTCGTCGTATGGTAGCTAACACTTGTGATGTCCCGGTGTGACCTTCTAGGTGGTGATGGTGTCTAATAATAAGTTCTGTTACGAAGTGATGACTGGGCAAAATTACCGGATGTCTGATTGAGAGTGGATAATCCGAGTAATTTAATCGTCCGCCGACACAAAGCAATCCATCGATTAACGTAGGTGAAAGATTTTTTAGCTCTTTTATATCAGTTGCGCTTACGTCATTGCATCGAGACACCTTTACTGCTTCCCCATACACTTCCTTTTGCACTAAGGCTAATACCTTGTGTTTAGCTGCATCCAATTCATCAACTGACAGATAGCCCACACTTAGGGACCTGTCCTTGTGATGGGAATACATGATGGTTATATAGGTCACGTATCTTCTGAGCCATGCTACCGCTTTAATCAGCCTTATCCAATTTGAGTGATATAGCAGAATTGGACTTAAGCTATGTTTTAGTGCAACTGCGTTGGTCGTGTGACATCTTTTAAATTCAACATTTTCTGGGGGATTCTCGCACATAAGCGTTAGTGTTCCTACAGACTCCCTCTTTCTTAAGAAGGAAGGACCCTCAATCCAGTTCTTTAAATCTAGCTCCTTCCGTATGCCTCGTGATGTCCAGTCAGCAGGATTTTCATTGGACTCTACGTGCCCCCACTGGTCCACAGATGTTAAATGATGAATAGCGGCCAGGCGATTAGCCACGAAGGTGGAATACCTACTATCTGTATTTTTTATATAGTACAGTACTATCATAGAATCCGTCCAGAAGTGAGTCTTGTCAAACACCTGAGGAAGGTTCCCATTTAAAACTTCCCCCATTCTAGCACTCAATACTGCCGCTGCTAGTTCCAGTCTAGGCACAGTCACCTGTTTTATAGGTGCCACTCTGGACTTACTATAAAGTAGAACGCTGTATGGTGCTTGGTGCTTAGGGACGTTCCACGAGTAAGCTACCGCACCGTAACCAGATTCAGAGGCGTCACAAAATAAATGCAGCTCAATCGCCTTAAAGTTCTTTCTGCTTTCATTTATAATACTTCGAGGAACACGAATCGTTCCGAGCCTCCGCACAAACGTGACACATTCGTTCCACGAGGACACAACACTATCACTCGGAGGCTGGTCCCAACCGATACGCGTTTTACAAAGATTCTGTAAGAGTTGTTTGGCAGGAAGGTATATTGGAGCTATCAGGCCCAGTGGATCGAAAAGAGATGAAATGGTGGATAGTATTCCTCTCCTAGTCGGAGTTTTTTCCCCTGGATCAAAACGAAAATTAAAAACATCGTGTGTGGTGTCCCATTCAATCCCGAGGGCTCGATGTGTCCGCCCTTGATTCAGAGACATATCAACAATAGCTTCCATACTATCAGATTGCGGAAAAACTTTCCTTACAATTTCCGAGTTAGTCACCCATTTCTTCAACTTGAAACCTCCTCGAGCCATCAATTCATTTAGTTGTACCACAAAACTTTTCGCCTCTTCATCATTGGGAAAGGATACTAGACAATCATCCACATAAAAGTTGTTCAGTACCGATTCCCCTACGCTGTTATCATAGTCACTAGAGAACTTTTGAGCCGTCTTCATCAACGCAAAGTTTGCACAGAAGGGTGAGGATATTGCCCCGAAGGGATGTGATGTCATCTGATACTCCACCGGTTCCTTCTCGATATCACCCTTCGGCCACCAAAGGAAACGTAGCGCTCCACAATCGGGCTTCGAGACCTTTACTTGCATGAACATTTCTTCCACTTCCGCGGAAACGGCAACCGGTTCCCTGCGGAAACGTAACAGGATCCCAACTAAACTTGCTGTAGTATCTGGACCTTGGTAAAGAAGGTCATTCAAGGATTTACCAGCCACCTTAGCAGCACAATCCAATACCACTCTCACTCTGCTTGGTTTTCTGGGGTTAATCACTGCATGATGGGGCAAGTACCATTTTGGGCGATAACCCGGATCGAGTTGCATACCTGGCACCACAACCGCGTACCCTTTGTCAATCGTCTGTTGCATGGCACAGGTGTAGCTTTCCCGAAAGTCCTTATTGCATGTGAGTCTACGTCTTAGACTTTCTAATCTTCGTCTAGCTAGATCATAGCTACCAGAGACTACATTTCTCTCCACCCTCCAAGGTAAAGGGACAATCCAATGACCCTCGTCAAAATAAGTGTCGCGCTCCACTATGCCAACTGCTTTCAAGTCATTTAAGGATAATGCTTTATCGGAGGAGTGCACGTCAGCAAATTCGTAGTTATATATTTCCTTTAACTGCTCTACAGGGTTGTCAGACTGAGAAATATAATTTACCATCCTTTTACTGTTTTTGCTAAAGCCTGCCGGTCCAAACAGAACCCATCCTAGAAGTGTCCTCATAGCATATGGGCTTTTTCTTCCACCCAATCTTTGATCTAGGACCCAATGCGCTTCAGGCACGTCACAACCAATAAGCAACATAACTTCCCCATCCACTGATTCTGTCCAAGGTAAGTCAGTAAGATGAGGCCATTTCTTGGCGCTGTCCTTCACAGGTACTCTTGGTCGATGCACAGGCAATTCATCTACTACAACAGCCTGTTCAATACATATTCATTCTTCTCCGTTCAATGAGTAAGCTTCAAAAGCTTTAGTGGTCGATCTGCTCAACTTATTTCCGTTGACCGTTTTGATGGTAATCGATGCACCATCTGACGATAATCCTAAACGTTGTACGGTACTTAACTTGATTAGGGTCGTATCTGAGCCATTGTCTAGGAACGCATATCCAGAAACTTCCTTGTCCCCAGCTCTAAGGCGTACAGGGATCAGGCCCAGAAACACGTCCTCTTTTATCGACTCTGTGTACCCGCAGTGAATTTCCTTTAAGCACTCACTCGAACCACTTTGAACTCGGATGGTTTTATGCAACGATGGGTGATGCCGATCCCGACAACCTTCGACAGTACACACAACACGATCTTTACAATCCACAGATCTGTGGCCCCTTCGAAGACAACAATAACACAAGCCCTTTTCTTTTGCTTTAGCCCACTTATCGTTGACTGCTAAGGTTGAAAACTGGAAACATTTATCTACACTATGAGTTTCTCCGCATATAACACAAGGTGATTTGCCAACGATTTTACCAAACGACAGACCTTGTGTGGAACAGGCCACCTTGCTTGCAACTCGTTTACTAGCAGTTGCAATCTGTCCGAATCTGCTAAGCAATATTTCCGCTCTAGATGACACAAATTCTGTTAACTCAGCAAAAGTAGGCTCTCTTCCATTTGCTGTTACCTTTCCTACTGTCTCGGCCCATCTCATCTGTAAAACCGTGGGCAACTTCTTTACTATACTTTCTATTGTCACTACGGAGTTGAGATCCGCTGAATAATCCATTTGTTCTAAGGTTATAGAACAGTTTTCCATCTTTATCGCTAGTCTAGATAGACTTTCTGCGTCATTATGTGCAATATCAGGACCATCAGTTAAATCTTCCATCAAAGCCCGACATATTTCGTGTGTTCTACCGAACAACCGTTTCAATATATCGCACGCTCTACGATAACCCGACGATGGTGGAAGCATTATGCATTCCTCTATGGCCTCTCGAGCCTTGCCTTTACAATAATGTAACAAGTACAAGAGCCGTTGACCATCGTCTTCGACCTTGGAAACCACATATAAATCAAATTGTCTAATAAATTTCCAGTATTTGGCTGGCTGTCCATCAAAGGTACTTAGCTCAACCTTTGGAAGTTCAAGACCTACACTAAGAGATTCCAAGGTCACTTCCTTCCTCTTCGTTCCCGAATAATCTAGCAGTTTTGACTTTTCTAGAGACTTTGTCCTAAGGTCATGAGAAGGACTTACGAACCTGTGAACGTTCTCCTTTTCTCTGTCATCACAGTTAGAAACAGAAGATAACTTACTACACGTGCTTTCGTTCAGCCTTAACGACCCAAACTCTCTCTGAAAGCACAGTAGTTGTTTCCTCTGCCTATCTTTCAAGTCTCTCATTTCTGATAACTGTCTTTCTTTCAACTCTGCTAAGGTAATTCTAGAGCTAACTTTACTACGTCTACTTACTAAACTAACATTAGAGCCATGACATGAAAATGCATCTAATTTGACTTGCCGTACATCTGGAGGTGCATCCGATTGCATTTCTCCGTGGCCCAATGCCAAGTTCTCGTTGACCTTATTGCGCTTTCCAGGCATTCCAGAATTTGTCACTTGAGATTACTGTTCGTTTGAGAACTGTAACGACCGAACAGCCAATATTCGGTTGGAACAACGGACTGACGAACCCAAAATTTATTCGATTAGACCAGACCAAGTTCCTCTGTATAGCTCACAACGCGTCTTTGAGATACTCGCATTATATTATATCAAAACACAAACTCTGTGCTCAATATAAACGGTTCTAATTAAGAAAACGGAACAAATTACATCAAAATACAAAATACCTCAAACGGTACAGCCTGTGCTATACAGTCAGAAGTTTCTCTAACGCAAAGTAGCGCGCTAAACAATGAAAGAGACAGTTAATACTAAAGGGTTTGATACCTGAGAATCAATACAAATATTCCCAATAAGATGGGATCAAATATCTATCTGCAGGGATTGCAGCAATTCTCCCAAGCAGACAGTCAGAAGGTTAACAATTACAAACTGAACCACGCCGTGACCTTGAGCTTAGTCAAACACAACCTTACTGTCAATGGTCCGGCAACATGCAATAGAAAATTAGGTAACAAAATAAGTCTTTAATCAAAATCACATAATAAAGGCTCAAACGGAGAAGACTGAAGAACAAAAGACATGGTTAAACGAGATCGAAACAAAGGTTGGAATACACAAAAGGGAGAAGGAACAAATAAATGACAATACTGTTCAATAAAGAAGCTGCAGAGGGATTTTCACTATTCTCTTTCTGTTACAGAGATACTAATTTAGGTTTTCATTCTAGAGATAACTCATTGGCTAGATCATCTACAATGAGAGAACTGTCTACTCCACTATTCGAAAAGGAGCAAGTCTGAATGGTCTCGCCATTTTTCGGTAATACAGTAATTATGGCTATCGCGACTCCCCCAGAGTGTAATCTTTGCACTCACCATCATCTGTTTCTCTACACTGTTAAGCAGTGTTTGTGCGTTATCTCTACTTCATGTGGATAAGAAAATCACATGACTTGTGCCTAAGAATGAATTCTATCCCTTTTCTAACATCCTTATCCTTAAATTTTTGTCACCGATCTAAAGAGTAACTCTGAGCAAGATGAACTATGGTACTTATATCTGCCACGTAAGGCAACGGTGTCATCACTTATGACCACATAGGATATCCTTGGTGCATTGTAATTTGCACTAAATTTCCCCTTTAAAACACTAATATCCCTATTGTGACTGTTACTACCACGTTTAATAATTAGGCCGTATCTGTTATTAGCCATATCAGCTTGTTCCTTTACAAACTCGATAAGATCGATAATCATAGGCTCTTGACCTCTGATAATCTTATAAGCTACCTTTAGCCACTCTTTTTGGACGTGATTTGGTAACTTCAGAACCACAGTTTCAATAGTTCTGGAGGACTTCAAATCAGAAACGCATTTCATCTGTTGCACTGACAGCCCACATGCTCGCATTTTCCGATACAAACTTCTCAAACCATCTTGTTGGTTCCTTCTCATGTAAGGAAAGTAACCGGTTAAAGGGAAAGTGACACTTTTTCTCTATCAGTGAAATTGATCTTTTCTTACCTATCAAAACAACTGTTTTTACTTTAATTGAGTCAGTTTCAAACAAAGTAACACTTATGTCATAGTTTTTTTCAACAGTAATTTTGCATCTCTACATCATTTAGTAGATCGGTATTTTCTCTTTCTGAACTGTTGGATTTAACAGTTTGCGGTTTAAGTTTTTCTGATCATCAGTTCTTGTCACCTGGTGTTTTTGTCTAATTCATTCGAAAGCCTCTGACTGATACCTGGACAGCGCAAAAGAAGTGATTGAGAAGGCTCATGCTGTCGACTTCCTAAGGGCGATGGAATATAGTAAAATGAGTGCAATTGGTGGAACCACGAAGCTTGCAAAGATCTGACACGTGAGGCTTTCAAATTGTTTACCAAAAATGGATTCATCTAATTATATCAACCTAGAAAACCTATTCATGAGGCTACGTTTGTTCATATCAGGGAAAACAACAACCTCACCACAAAAGTCATCAACAATCATCCAGGGTCTCATATCGTGTGTAACGTGAATGTGACCACAAATCCAGTGAAAGCTGCTGATCGGGTACAAATCAAAAATTAGAAACGGCACAATGTTATCAAGTAATGGGAGTCAGCAAAACAGTAGTTGAGAACGCGAAGTCTGATCATGGTGATAGGCCATTCGTCCTTCACAGAGTCAAGGAGAGTGATGGTTCAACATCCAGAAATCCGTTTGAGTATGGCATTGGGTTGATCAGAAGTCTGTAAGGCGAATGATATCATGATTGACAAATTCCACACTCGGTCTTTGAGTAATCGATGTTTAGCCTTCAAAGACCTTAATGCACACACAGCAGACGGTAAAAAAATATAAGGACTGAATTAATAAAAACATCATCCGAATAAAAATTAGCTAGTAATAATAATAATAATAATTTATTCTCAAGCAACGGTTTGTTACATGAGGCATGCCAGTTTACAGGCAAGATCAAATTGTTACAAATGATACAATATCCACTGTGGTAAATTACTCAGCTGAGTTGATAATTTAAAAGATATGAATGTAGATGGTTTTAGTCAGTATTACAGTTGGCGAGCTTCGTGAAAGTTGCGTTGCGAATGTGCAACTGATGGTCAAGGATAGGTCCATTGAAGGTGGGAGCTTCTAGAAACCGCAACCTTATGTCCTTTTGGAATTTTTAAGGCTTTAAGGATGGTGCAGGATGAAGTCACCCGTTTCATATCTCAAGGGGGCTGAAAGAGGGAGCAAGTAAAAGAAAGGACGAGAGGCAGAGTAGCCAATATTCATGAAGGAATGTTTAAATTATAATTACTCAGTCTAATTTTCGTTTATTAAGGTATTTGTTAAGCAAGAGCATTTTAATAGGTTAAAGAAAATAAGTGTAAACAAGGTATGAGTGGATATACAACTGACAAATGGAGGCCATTCAGAAAGGAGCTGAGAGTATGGGATGTGTGGTTATAAAATATAGTGCGAAAGCAGTATTATGATATACAATTGACTATCTTCCTTTTTTATCGAAGCTATTGGAGCCTTTTTCATCATTTTTTGTATTATTATTATTATTTTAGGTATCATAGGGTCTTGAGTAGGCTTCGTATATTATTGAATCATCTAGTTTGCTTGTAATAGGATTACTGGGTAGGAAGTGAAACCAGTTCAATGTTCGTAACAGGATTTAATGAAGTATTTTGCATGATAAATAAGCATTAGTACCTTAAGTTCGTGACATCCCACTAAACCATAAGAAGACGTAATTAAACAAAATGTTGAAGTAGTATCGGTTCTTAACCACGCGATTCTTGAAACTGAACATATTATTACTGAAGAGATTGACATCCAAATGTGATACCTGGAAGGGGTCGGTAGTGGTGAACGCAGGATAATTCAGTCACCTGCCATTGTCTACACTGACTCGTCGTATCGTAACATTCAGTAATATAACGTCTAGCGTTTCTAAAGAAAACATTTAAGCTGAAGATGGAACGATATATTTAATATGAAAAAAGGGTATATGCTACACAAGAATGGTCATGTCTGCAAGGCTTAGCCATGCTATTCCATTCAATTCACTGTCCCCGCGTTCACAATTTTCGACCTTTTTTCCGTGTTAAATGTTGAGTTTCTCATGTTTAGCCTTGAGGATTGTGTGGTTAGGGTTAATACCACTACATATGCACAAAAGCTGTTGCACCGCACATTCTTTATAGGAACAAAAGCTTGTTAAAGAGTCGATGAAGCGCTCTAAATAATTATATTTGTACATAATAAAAAGGAATAGGACAAGAGGAAACATTCCGGCATTATGAAAATACGGTAGTACCATATCATTAGTGGATGACGACTGTGATAAAGTTGAGGTACTCGCAAAACAATTTATAGATTTGTATACCATATCCCCTCCAGGGCCCAAGTTAGCGTTTGCATCGTGACTCACTTTGGTCATCATAATCAACCACCAGAAGAAAAGAAAAGCAGGAGAGTATGCAGCCTTGTCAGAATCAGGTTCTCACTTGGAATTCATCTGTCAGCTGTCCTCCACGCACCACTTTGCAGTGTAGTCCATCCAGCTGTCCAGTGTTTCTTTAGCTTCAGTTTCATCTCAAGCACAGCCAGGTGGAGACCTGAAGCTATGCCATCTCCTATCCTGCTTCTCATGCCTTCCATCGACCTACGGAATATTTTAGTGTTGCAAATATTATCGATCTGGTTGTTTGTGGTGTGATCCAGTGAGGTCCATGTAGCTTTGTGTATGTGTTTGTGTGGGAATATTGAGCAGCCTTTATCCATCTTTTTGAATGCAAATAAATTTGCAAATGTGTCACCATTCTCTTTCCTTCCTCACAGTCAGTTCATGTCGTCGTTTAGATGTTTAAAACAATTATTCACACTGATAAATTTCGATTAAACGAATTAAACCATGTAAACTATTTCGATAATGCAGATTGTTCGAAATGTATTACGCAACTACATCACATAATTTTGATAAGCTTCATCTTCTCATTGCATTATAGAAATAGTTTACATGGTTTAATTTGTTCTGTCTGATTGGCCTCTTTCGGCAAAGTTTTTTCTACGTGATGGCTTTACAATCCCATGCCAAGCCCTCCTTTGTGTGGGCTTGGGACTGACAATCATTCTAGAAAGGCTAAAAGCGGACTTCATACAGATTTTGGAAATAGCAGTCATTAAAGTTCTCGATTACTTCGGTATGCAAAGTTAGCTCGATATCGATAATTTGGTGAGACCTAATCAAATGCTTGCTAGATTGCTGGTAGGAGTAACACACTGTATCTCAAATTCATTAAGTATACGTTTTAATCTATGTGTAGCTCAATGTTGATTACCAAACTACCGGAAGAAGGACGTAGTAAGTCCTGTTTTTAAAACAGGGAGAGGACACAAACCTGAAAACTATCGGAACACAAACCTAACCAACGAGGTTGTTAAAATTTTGTTGTTGTTTACGTATCTAGG